CCAACATATACTCCTTTTTTGGGTAAGTGAAAGGCCTTAATTTTAACTAAATGTTTGGATTCCAAGTTTCATATGGTACCTTCCATTTGTGTGTATATGCATCTACATAACTTGAGGTGAAAAACAAAGGTAAAAAAACTCAATATTTTTGTTTATGAAAAATGTGAATTGGCATTGAAATCACATAAGATGGTATGAAATTCGAATATTTGTCATTCCATTGGATGTCAATGGTACATAAGAAAACCACTGAAACTACAAAAGATTAGCTTAGGGTAAACTTTGTTGGATAGACCGCTATATGAAAACATTTATCACTCAACATATTTGCTTTTCATCACTAATAAAACCATTTATTTTTCTCACCAACTTACACTAAATTAAAAAAATACTATTCTTTTTCTTTTTATAAATCTGAGGTGAATACACAGTAATATATGTTTAAAAACTCTCGATCATTTGACAATGAACGCTCATATCTCTGCATACGTGAGCTTAACTCATGCAAATAAAATGTTCTTATATATACTGAATTGATTTAGTGATGAGCATCGCGTGACCTACTAGATCAATCACAATCACATATCTATTACTCAAGGATAAAAACCTTGACAATTGATTTTATCATCCCATTTAATTCTTCAATTATAATATTCAAATGAAAACATGATTAACAAAACTGATTTGGATTCTATGCTAATTTTCAATAAAACTAATTAGTTTATTGTGTATATAAAAATTATATGCAAGCAAGATTAAAACAATTAACAGTTATCATCGATTTAGTTGTAACTAATATTGAAATTCGTTATATTTCTTTCGAACCTGCTTTACAACTTGCACTTCAACTATTTCTCCTTCTATTAATAGTTTTTGAAGTCCCTCAAAACTTCTAGAGTTTCATATTTTTTTTGGACAACTATAACCCTTTGATATGATCTCTTGGCGTGATTGTTGATAAGCTCATGTGATTAATTAAATGTATTATTTGATAGTCATATATATTTTGCCTATCAACTTATAAATAACCATCATTATTTTAGGTTTAACACCAGCGCTAAAAATATTATATAGTTCACCATCATTATTTTTGGGTGTAAAGCATTAACATAACATATCATGCACAAGAAAGGGGAGATTATTGGAACTATCGTTGACGATGCTTCATCTTTATAAGTAAATGGTAATGACATTATTGACTAATACCATCATTCATGTGATGTACTTTAGTCTATGTATAGACATGTGTTTCGTCTTTATTTGACAAATCACATGTGTAAAAATTAAAAATGGTTTACTGTTAAAATGTGGATATCTCTCCTATACTTTTGAACTCGATACTTAGCTTACATGGTTTAATTTATTTTAGAGGTATACGTGTTAAGGCATATTGATTTGATTATATTTTTAGGTGATTATAATGTAGTGTTTGTTCACAATCTTTCTAAATTACTGACAATGCATATACACCTTATAGACGTAGCTACTCAAACATAAGATATCTAAAAAGAACAATACTCCCTTTAACTATTAAAACCATTTAATAAGTTTATATTGATTTATTGATTTAATTAGGAGATTATATATAAAAAAAACCTTTCCCTGTAAGAATATCCCCATCTAATTTAAAATGTATTGTTACTTTATTAATAATTTTTTAAATTTTTTTCCACAAAAGAATCTTTGAATATGGACTTAAGTTTTATACTCAACTTATAAAATATCATCCGTTTTAATTAAAAAATCTTATAATTTTATTTCGTAAAAATACACATGTTTTTACACGTAACAATAAATTCTCAAAATTTTGTATGGGGTTAGAAGTTACGATTATGGATACTCTTAAATTTATTTTCAATCAACTTACCTTAGTTATTAAATGAATCGTTGTTGTTCTTAGAGGTCATAGTTCGAGCACCAATAACAAACGTGATTGAACGTTCATTGTCAAATGGTTGAGAGTATTTAAAACATATATTACTTTGTAATTATCTTTAATTTAATAAAAAAATCACGTATAATATCTTCGTTTTTAATTTCTTCAAAAGATATATATAATAATAAAAATAAAATTAGAAGAAATAAAAAGAAAACCTAAACTTCCAATTGTAAGGGATAAGTAATTTACTTAATTATTTATAAATAATTTGTTTTATTTCATTAGGATTTTTTTAAATCGCTCCTCTATGGTTTATTATCTGTTTACTGAAATTTTCGCACTACTTAAAGGTTTTTAGAATTACATATCTTCTAACCTGCTTTGATTATTTGATGTGACCATTAATAAACTCACGTGATAAGTTAAATTTATTATTTAATAGTTATATATGTTCGTCTGGTCAACATATAAATAGTCATTATCATCTTAGGTATAACACTAACACTAAGAGGTTATATATAAGTCATCATGCAATGTTCTTGAAAAAACAATTTTCCCCTCTCTCACACAATCTCTCTTAGACTTAATTTCTCTACCATTCATCATCACCTTTAACCTATATTACCAACGATCGTGACTCTCCACCTAAACTATAAAGAATGAACCGCATAATCGTTACGATCTCATTTTTACCATCAACAAGTATCATTTTATTAAAAAACTGAAATAATTCAACAATTATTTTATTCACAATTTACTTAAATTGTGTAAACAAATTCACGTGGCAAGCATAAAAGTAGAGTCCAAAAATATTATTTAAAAGGTTAAAGAATCAGGTAATTTTCTCCCATTTTATAATGTAAAACTAGGCAAGAAAGAACCAACATGGCAAAAAACTACAAGCCTTGGAACCAACAATTTTATAAATCGAAGGTGAAGAGAGCAATTTAGGTTGAAGTTCGTGTACATGTGCAAACATGTGTGTGCTATCTAGAAACTCTAGATTTTAACCAAAAGGTTAAGAAAGGTATATATAGAAGCTCGTGTTTGTACATAAACACACATGTGCTTACACGTGTGCACGACTTCTTAGAAATTCAAATGAAAAAAAGTGCACGAACTGTGGATGCATAAGCATTTACACAATAACAATATTTTCGAATTTAAATGTTATTATGAATTATTCAACATATCAATAAGTTTATATTAATTTCAACGTTGAAACAAATATATCAATGACTTCATTAGTTAAAGAATTTATTGTTATCCTTTAAAATTTCAGGTTCGAGAATTGCATATGTAGATGTATAAATGTTCATTATCAAAATATTGAGAGTATTTAAATATATACTACCTTATATTCACCTTAGATTTATATAAAAAAAAAGTTTAAACGAAAATGTGTTTTAATTCTAAAATTAGTAGAGTTATAGATTAATTTATGATAAAATTTAAATCCAAAAAATGCATACCTCAATTCTAACAATAAAAAAAATCTCAACTCCCTAGTCTCCCAACTTGTGCAGCCTCGAGGGTTGCCTAGATTTCAAATTGAATTGAGTTTCTTTTCACTCGTATCTTGGTTATTAAAGTTTAAAAATTTTCAATTTATTTATTAAACTTTCAATTTACTCTTATTTTGGTCACTGCGATGTTAAATACTTAACGACATTCCGACTAAATATTTTTCTTTTAAAATTATGAAATGGCCTAAGACTTTCCTATTTTTTGTGAAAAAAAACCCTCCAAGTGTCGAATTGCCTTTGATTTCTCGATGAAGCATATTCTTCCAAATCCTAACAGTGGAGAGGTGGAGAAGGAGGAAGCGATTTGTAACATTGATTCCACGATGATCAGATAATGGTATATATTATGATTTGAGGTTTCATGAGTTTAGGATTTAAAGTTGAATTTATGAGTTTTAAAGTGGTTTAGATAAAACCTAAACTGATAGAGTGGTGAGAGACAGCGAGGTGAGTTCGTCAATATTTTGAGTGGTCGAAGAAAATGATGAAGAATGATAATTACAGTGTCGACGTGACACAAGGATAGAACTGTAAAACTTTTATCTTTGGAAGAAAAAGATAAATTAAAAAAAAAAGAAAAGGAAAAATGATGCAGATGCCACATAGATTTCATGTCAATAAAAAATAGTCCACATCAACACTAGTGGTTGTCATGTCATCATTTCATTTATGATTTAATATACGAGTGATTAAAATAGGAATAAATAGAAAGTTTAATTATTCAATAGAAAATTTTAAACCTTTAGTGACTGAAATAGGAATGAAAAGAAAATTGAGTGGTAAAATTTGTAATTTACCCTAATTGTATTTGACGGATAGTGTTTTGTTTTACACCTTTGACATGTCGTGAACTCATAAATGACATTTTATTAACGACAACAACAGATAAAGGTTGGTCCGTGAATATAAAGCACTACTTTAAAACAATTTATTGACCAACACATGCCTTTGAAAAATAGCACTTACCAACCAACAATGTATCACAAAAATTGCTTAAATAGTTAATCAATCGGGTGAATCCAATCATTAAAAAGAGTATTATTTTCTCTTATGATTCTGAACTCGAATAAGAGCTCATTGTTCGTATTTTAGAGTTGCTAGGTTGGCTTGTTTGATTTGACATAATGGTGCTTGTGTGGTCTGTTCGGTTGAGTTTAGCTCCCTAGAGCAGTTGTGAATTTTCTTTCCCTTAGCTGTAAGTATTCTTTTACTTCATTTAGAATTGGTGAGATTTTTAACGAGGCTTGCAGTCCAGGTAATGGTTATTTTAATAAAATTCTCTTTCTGAAAAAAACTATGTTTACATATGTTAATAGTTAAAAAAAACTGTTTACATATGTTAATAATTAAGAAATAATTATAAACATATACTATATTATAATCTCACCGTATTATTGAAAAATTATCTAAATAGCTATTAATTCGGATAAACATTTGCTTAAGAAAACGTAACCCCAAAACAATCATGTCAAGGCCATTGTTGTCATCTCACCAAGACCAAGAAAGTGAGGGAATGGGATTAGATTATATAGAAAGAGATGAGAGTATATTAATGGTTGAAGGGGATGGCTGTGAAAATGGATGTGTGCCCAGTTTTCATTAGAGCGTACATACACTGCCTTGCTGTCTAGCATGTGAAGGCCCTTTCTCTCTTTCTTTTTTACTTGCATGCACCCACCCCAACTGGCACTTTTGATTCATTCACATCAATGGCTGAATGGGGAGGATGCAGACAAAACTAGTCTGGGATTTGAGTCTTCATTCTCTTAATTGCTCTTTGGTTTTTTTCACTCCCACACCCTTATATAGGGCACACATATAACCTCACCCTCTCTGAGTTACACTTACCACCCTCTTTTGAGTTTTCTTCTTTTTTTCAGCCTTTACCTCTTCATTAAAAGGAGCCATTGGTTGAGGGAAACAGCATTGAGTTCTTTTGTTGTGATTAGCAACATAGAAGAAGAAAGAAGAAAAAAATGAATGTTTTGTCCTCTGAGTGCAGTAGCGGGTGTGAATCTGGTTGGACTAGTTACTTAGAGCAGTCCTTTTGTTCTGATGATGTTTCCATTGATAAAAGAGTGGTTTTTGTGGTGAATATAGGAAGGGTCATAAGGGTAAAGAAGAGGCTGTTGTTGTTGTTGATGATGATGAAGAAGAAGACCTTTCCATGGTTTCTGATGCATCTTCTGGGCCTCCACATTTCTATGAAGATGATGGTTATTTCAATGATGATGATCATCATCACTACACTGCGCCTAAAGTTGCTACATTGAATAAAAATGGTGGTAAAAGACATAGGAACAAGGAACAACAACTGCCTTCTTTACATGATGATACTGCCAGCTCTCCTCTCATCAATTTCTCCAAGGTAATATATCACTGATCTTCTCTATATCAGTCTCTTATCAGTAATGGTGTTTGACCACGTGTTTCTTGACAAATTTTCCAGAACAATTTTTCTCACACCAATAATACTCAAGCTTCAATGGAGGAAAGTGCCTTCCATTATCCGCAGGGGTTCTCTGCAACACACGCCTTCCATTATCCCCAGGGGTTCTCTGCAACACACTTTCAGGTATTTGAAGAACCATTAACTTATATTTTCTAGTTTTTTTTTCCATTAGAGCTTGTTGATAACCATTGAATTATTGCAGGGAGGGCCCGCATTCCAAGACCACTTTGGATTTTTGCAGCCTTCTCCATCCGGAAACCACCTACAAGAGCACCAGTTAAGTGATTTCCTATTGGTTTGGTACTCTTTTGGCTTCATCTTCCTTTTGAACTATCGACTCATTTGAAGTTTCAACATTGACAGGTGGTTTTAATGGAATTAGAGAGATGGGATAAAGGTGGTTTATGTTTCTGAATATCAACCTGCTCTTGCTAGTTGCTACAATGGAGTTTGACTCTTAAGAAGAAATGGAAGAAAGGGTTGTCAATGGATGGAAAGATTCAGATCTCAAAAGGGGATGATCATGATCTTGTTCCTTTCATTTTTCACTTCATGTTCAAAAGCCATGCTTAAGAGCAAAACATGGAAATAAAATTTCTTGTTTTTTTTTATCAAGACTTGATTTTCCAGCCCAGGAAGAACAAAATTATAAGCTTAGTCTTTGTTTCTTGAATGGAGCACCATGCTCTCTTTATACCTCAACTTGCACACCACTTCATCACTTAAGTTTAACTAAATACAAAATACTCCAATATGAAGGAAATTATCCACAATGAAAGTTTAAATCCTCGCTTTCAAAACCCATTTAATGAAATAGTGAAAAAGAAATGTTGTTCAAGTTTTAGGTTCGACCAACTATGTTTACAAGATGTGTGTACGTTATCATTAATTAAAAATATTTTGAAAAAGACATATTTGCAACGTAATAAATTAAGTTTAAGCTTGATTATGCCTCCTAATCTTTTGACATTCCTATCAAACCTGTCTCCATCACCTCTTTTGTCAAAATCCCATGCTTGTTTTGTAATAAATTACTTATCCACAACTTCAAAGCCAAAAAGGATAAGAGATAAAAACAAACCCCCCTCAGCTGTGTGCATGCAGCATGCATGTGAGGCATAGGTAGATAATTAATAGAGATGTTAGTTTACTCTTTGAGTCTCCTTGTTTGGTATAAATTTGAACCTAAAAACCGACACACCATCAATTAACTTGAATGCCAAGGACAAAATTTATTGTGCAAGTGAACTTAGCCTTTGTCATTTCTTTTAATGTTGTTGTTTAATAACTAAAATATTATTTTGGACACAAAACAGGAAAAATGGATGTTTCATACGCTCAACTTTAATTCATAGCCACTCCTATAGAATATGATCATATGAAGATGAGATTTGAGTAGGTCGGATTTTGCCCCAACATCAAAATTGGAAACTTGGCTTGTTAAGCATTCAAGCTAAAATCACAAATTAATGTTGGAGTACTTCATATGCATCTCCATAACCCTATTTTTTAAGCCAAGAAGGTCCTGCCATCATCATATTGCTGACCCCAAAGGAACATGCCCCCATTATATTTAATAATTTCCTCTCTTTTATAAGGCTTTTTCTTCTTCTTTTCCATAAATATTTTTTTGGTAAACTACATAAATGGTATCGACTATAGAGTATATCTTTGTTGAGTCCCTCAACTATTAAAAATTACAAAATGCTCCCTTAACTATGGGACAATATTTTGTTGTGTCCCTCGACTATTCAAAATTACAAAATGGTCTCCTAACTATGGGACATTGTTTTGTTGAGTCCCTCAACTATTAAAAGTTACAAAATGATCACCTAACTATTCATATGTTCTGAACTCATCCTTTTCTATTAAAACATTGATGGTCGTTTGAGATGGACTTTAACCTATTAACTGAGATATGATAAAATTATATTTTAATGATGTTTATTGGCTTCGTCGTTGCTTTTAAGAACTAGCTCGATGATATAATGTTTCAAGCACTAGCTCGACGACATAATATAAACGGAGACTCGATCCACAACACATCAAATGGTTATGGGATCAAATTTTATTATATCCCAGTCAATATGTTAACGTCAAGCTCAGAAGATCGTCAAATTTTCAATGGAAAAGAACGAGTTTGAAACATATGAATAGTCGGATGACCATTTTATAACTTTTAATAGTCAGAGGACTCAATTAAACAATGCCCAATAGTCAGCGGACAATTTTTGTAACTTCTAGTAATCAAGGGACTCAACAAAGTAATACCCTATAGTCGAGGGACCATTCATGTACTTTACCCAAATTTTTTAGTGATATTATTAGTAATAAAGAATGTTATTCATTTTAAATAATTCAAGTTTGAACAATTACGTCTACAAAATATATACACGTATATTATTAATAGAACAATAAAACTTCTAAATATATATTATTTTATAATTATTTAATATAATTAAAACTTACTTTTATTTTTCATATAATTTCTTTGCATGATATATTAATGCCGCTTTGCTCCCTCTCAAACCTTGCTGCCGTGCAGCTGTCATCGAACCTGGTGTCATACACAATTATATGTCTTTTGCTTTGAATTTTTTATGCATCTAATTATCCCCCCAAATTCCTATCGAGATTTATATAATTTCTGTTCAGTTGAAAATTGTAGAAAAAAAATAAAAAAATTGTATGCTTTCTGCTTGTATTTATGTTGTATTTAAGTTTAGGGTAAACTATGCGAATAGTCTCCTATGTTTTTGATCTGATCGACTTTAGTTACCAATTAAAAAATTAAGGGGAAATAGTCCCTAACATTATTGATATGTTCGATTTTAGTCCCTAACGTTATCGATTTGTTCAATTTTGGTCCATAGGCCGTTAACTCCCGTTCTACTTTTGTCCATCAGCCATGTTAGGTACTTAAACAAAAGGTACTTAAACAAAAGAGGGTTAAAGAAAATTAATAACAAATAGACTTAAACCGAACGAACCGATAATGTGAGAGATCATTCACCCTTATTTTTTAAATTACTGGCCAAAGTCGGATAGACCCTAAACAAAAGGCACTATTCACATGGTTTACCCTTAAGTTTAACATGAATTCTTATGATTGAATAGTTCTATCCACTTTCTCCTGGGTTTCAATGGGTATTTATTATTAGAAAATGAGGTAAAAATAAAATTTTAACTTACGTCTTATTGGTTAAAGCTTCAAAGCATGTTTTAAGTAATTAATTTAACAATAGGATTCAAAATGATAACGAAATGGTAATTTAGATATTTTGATAAAAAATAGTTTAAATATTTAAAATAAAAAATATAATTTAGATAATATTTTTATTATCTTTATCCATTATTCAGTTGTAAGAAAAAAAAAATTAATTTTACGTCTACAAAATTTTAGAAATTCATATTGATTTTTTATTTTTTTGAATATTTTTAATTAAATCATTCCCATAATTTTTAAATTTTTTTTATTAAGCCTATTAAATTTTAAATTTTTTTAGTTATACCTCAATTTTTTTGAAAAAAATGTAAACTGAACCTTCACAATTTTTGAAAATTTTAAATTAACCCCTCAAACTTTATCACCAAATTTTACCACTGTTTGTTCCTTTCTCAAATTTTATGAGTCCGCTTCTAACATGAAATCTTGTGTCCGTCTTGGAATAGGACACTTGTTTGCATGTTCAGCCATAATTTTATCTGGTGGGATATAAATAATAAAAAAGGAAGAAGCCTGCATCGGATAAGGGAAGTATGGGAGAAAACACAAAATGTAGTTGCAACCACCACCAAAGCCAAAACCTTCAATTGGTCTGTAAAGAAACAATGGCATTGTGGTGTTTGTATATTACTTATCTGTTTTCTGTTCATGTCTCGCACTGCACCTTGAACAAGCCTTGTTTCCATTTTCCAGGGCACCCCCTCTTATAGCCATGCATCTCTATTTTTTTAATTAATCATCTGGTATCCGATCTATTGACCGATTAATCTAAATCAGGTATTACAGAGGTGAGAGCAACTCTCCCAATTCAGTTTGCTCCATTAGCAAATGTCATGAGTTCGAACCCCTAATCTTATTTAAAGAATCTAGTACCTCATTCTACTAGATCAACTGATTATTAGTTCTATCTTTCCTTCTTTTCTTTTAATCTTTTACGGTTTGTAAATCTGATTCAGACATTAAATCTGGGTTTTGGCTGCACATGATTTCCTACAGTAAATTTTGTATAAATTTAATGGCAAGAGAAACCTGCCAGAACTGAGTGACGAGTGTCCGTACATAGAAATTCCAATTCCATTTACAATATCAACTTTGCCTATCCACCGTGGGATCAACCAGTGTATACAAGATATTTTTTGTATTTACTCTATAATAAACCTTTAGTAATTATATATATATATATATAACAATTGGGTGAGTGAAAATAGATAGATGAGATTAACTTTTATTTTAAATTAGTCCTTAAACTTTTAAATATTTCCATTCCCAAACTATGACTCTCATTCTAAATTAATTCTTAAACTTTTGAACATCTTATTCTAAATTAGTCCTTAAACTTTTGAAAATTTTAATTGAATCCCTATAATATGACCCTCTTTCTAAATTGGTCCCCAAACTTTTGAATATTCCAATTTCATCCCCAAATCCATCCAAATATGTAATTAGTTTCAACCATAGTTTAACCTAATATTTGTTATTTTTTCAAACATATAATAATATAACTTGATTTAATGATTTTATCAATAAGGGATGTGATTAGTATATACATATAGTTTGGGATGAAATTGTAATGTTCAAAAATTTTGGGGACCAATTTAGAATGAAAGTCATAGTTTGGGGATGAATTGAAATGTTCAAAAGTTGAGGATCAATGTAGAATTATAGTTATACTTTAGGGACCAATTTAAAATAAGGATCATACTGTGAGGACATTTGATTTAACAACCCCTCTACTAAATTATAATCAAAAGATAATTTAGGGGAAGATGATGGGAGAATGGCATTCAATTCTACTTTTTTTCATGTCTTTAGACGGGTGAAAGCAAGCCCTTCAAGGATGGTAAGCTAATTTGCTTAATTAAAGAACATAAAGAAATGGACTAAATCATAATCAAAAGATACTTAAGTAGCTTATTCATCATCTTTGAAAATGATAAAATTCCAAGTCTAGTCCTTCATCTTTTCTTCTCCATCGATTAAGCATTTGATGGGCTAATCATACTTTTAACCATTAATCTTTTCTTCTGATTTCATTTGAGCACCTAAATACTCACATTTTACTAAAGTCACCATACTCTTCATTTTTTATATTTTAGTCATTAAACACTCATTACAGCAATTTACTCTTTAATCCAACTATAAAACTAATCCCCGTCTCGAGAATCTAAAATACCAAAATAACTTATCGAAAAAGATCTTTTCAATCGTCGGATATCGAAAGTCTAAAATATCGAAATAACTTATCAAAATTCATTAATATTTGTGAAGATACTTTGAAATTGTCTTGGTCAATCTGATTGCCACGAAAAAAAAAAGAATGGAGTTCATGCATGCATAACAAGACAGCACGTTTCTTTGGTCGTAAAAAGATTTTGGTAGCACAATGAACCGAAACAATTCATGCAAATTGCAGGGTGATGATTGTTGAGGACAAATAGATATGGGTGGGGTGGATTGTTATGGAAATAATATGAATTGGAGCTCATTTTATTCGTGTCAAACAAAATATTATTATTTTTATTTGAGTTATTATTTAGTATATTATTAATTTAAAAATATTATTTTCACTGTTAAGATTTTTATAAGTGTTTATATCAAAACATTTGGTTTTAATTGTGTCGTCATTAGTTTATATGTGAATGATATATTGATTTTTGGTATATATATTAATGCCATTAATGAAACTATGAGTATTTTTCCTCTCAATTTGAAATGATTGATTGGGTGAGAATAATGTAATATTAGAAACTAAGGTTAATAATAGTTTGTGGTGACTATAAAATAGTTTTTTGTTCAAAACCTTTTTAATTTATTGATAACTTACACACATAATGCAGATGCAACTGTTCGAACTCATGACCTCTAAGGAGAACAACATTCTCTTTTACGATTGAACGAGTGGAATATCTCAAATATTGTAGAAAAATAGTTTGAGATTTGAAATTAACTTAGTTGATCCTTGAAGGTTCAAATAGAAAAATGATTCTTGATTTAATCGAGGTGAATGTCTTAGGCTTATTGATTGAAGGATTTATAGGGGATACATGATCTAATTTACTAAGTGTAATGTAGTTAAATTAAACCATGAAAACACTCATAATGTACTCAATAACCCATTTTTATGACATACTTTGTATACTTATGAGGTTGACATTTACCCATAATCGAACCATATTCCAAAATTGTGTGGTTCTAGGAGAATGATTTAATTGATTTACTGAATTGATTTTAAAATGAACTTATTATTGTTCTTAATGGTTTCATAGTTTAGATTCAGATGGTTCATATTGAGATGAATTTGATGAAATCACCTATACAAGTGTGAAAATTTAGTCACTTCTTACGGAAGACAATTCATCTTTCTAGAACACTCGTGAGCATTTCAAGGTATTATGGCTACTTGATGACTGGATCATCGTACAACACAATTGAAGTTGAAATTAGATGTGTTATCGAGTTTTTATTTAAAAACTTATACTTATTCACTTGTTTAATGAATAATTATATTATTTCACTAAACATTTGTTTAAATCTCAATATACGAATAGTAAAACATCTAACCTTTATGATTTTCGTCAATAAATCGTATATGATTGGGATATGATTCGGATCCATGTCACTATCAACTACTTGAGGAACTTGAAACAAAATTTGTTAACATGTTTGAATTATTTGTTTGTAAGCGTATTTATTTAATATTTATAAACACATAATTTATCTAAACAAAATCATGAACAATATCCCGAAGATTCTCAATCAAGTCCATTCAATCACATCTCAAAAAAAAAAGGTCCATTCAGTCACGTGTATTATCTAAACGTAAGCAAAACATCACAAACTCAAGCTCATTTATAAGCTATCCATTAGTTATTTGTTACTATCGTCGTTGGATTCATCTACTACACATAATATTCGGGTAATTCTGTTGTGTGACCAGTAAAAATATATTTTTAGTGGCTTTTTTCAATCATATAGCGGTGTTTTTAAGCGTCGTTAAAAACCTTTGTGATGTAAAAATAAACACCGCAAAAAGTATCGCTAAAAAACGTCGCAAAAGATAACGGCGTTTGTAGTTCACAAACGCCGCTAAAGATAATGATATTTAGTGGCATTTTTTCCAAACGCCGCTATTTATCTTGTCTTTTGTGGTGTTTTGTCCCAAAAACGTCGCTAAATGTTATGTCATATATTGTGAATGTAAAACGCCGCTATTGACTACGTATATAGTAGCGTTTTCTGTATAAACGCAACAAAAAATCTAGAACTTTAGTGGCGTTTTTCAAAAACGCCAATATTGACTGTATTTAGTGGCCTTTTTTTATACAAATGCAGCGAATTAAAACTAATTTTTGAAATGTTGTTTTCTACTCTTTAGTTAGCTAAATTTATCACGTAGCATTATCCAATAAACTTGACATCCATAACAACAAACTTGAAATCCATAACAAGAAACTTGAAATCCATAATAATAAATCAAAGTTTACATTAACGTAAAATATAATGTAGTTCAACATTGTTAACTAGAATAAACAATAATAACACTTAAGATGGTGGACTCTGGGGTTGATTTTGTCGTATCATCTGCATCATAACTTGAAGTTGATTTTGAAAGTCTTCGTATTTTTTCGGATTGAAGAGCCATCAATTCTAAATGCAGAGCAGATATTTGTTGCACAATGCCAGGAGCAGATATATATGTTGATAAATCAGCCTGTGCACCTAAAGGAAATGCCAAAAGCATTAGCCCGAGCCATTGAAATTCTTCCACAGGACCATCCTTCTCCTTAGCCCTCTTGAAAATCATGTCAAGAAACCTAAATGCAGACTGGTTTTTCCCAGCAAGAAAAGTAGCAAACCTCTTCAGGTACAGTATAATGAAGGGCACAGGAAGCATATTCCTACGGTCAAATAACAAGGTTTGTAAAATTATCTCCAGCTCATTGGTTTCCCAATATAATCATGTATAAACAAACTAATCATTAAAATTATATGCTATACAATTCGAAGCATGAGCATTAAACAAAAATTACTATGCAAGTGAACATGCTACCTTAGCCTCAAATTTGCAAAATCTAAAATGAACTAAAAACTTAGAAGTTGCAAAATGAGAAGCATGATATTTCATATAGTCATGCAAGAATTTCCCAACACATGCACATGATACAAACTGATAAGAAGCCTCAACCTATTGCTAGTGATCATTAATAAAAATGACGAGTTGTTACAAGTTTTAAGAACTTTAAACTCACATCTTCCCAGGTGTCAAAACCATCCATATCAAACATGGCAGGTTTTATCTAATATTTTTCTCTCTCTCCCTTTATTGCCAATCATACACCACTATAGCTTGGTAATAAATAACCCAAACTAATCATCAAGGCAAACTTATTTCCAGCATTGCACAATAAGCAGAACACCAGGTCACCAGAAATAATTAATAGTACCAGGCGACGACCATAGAAGCACACCTCTGGCTCTATGGAACCAAAAAAATCCAACTTCAAGAGACATCCATGCTGCCTATCATAGTACAATCCTCTAATGGGAAAGGATGGTTCATATTTAAAACTCATACAAACCTCTGGATACCTAAACTGCAAGAATGCGATAGATAACAATATGTCAACACCAACAATAAGCCACAGTAGAAAAGATCAACTACATAACTGCATTATAATATCACATAAATGCTAACCTCATTCACCATATGTTCCTTTGCGAGATCATATATCAAACTTTGCAAGTTTGCAGAGTAATGTACCAATGTAAAATCATAATCAAATCCGTATACCTGAATAAGATCCAGTCTAATACCCCTATTCACATATATACCTACATTAACGTCAAACAGAATAACATTTTGAACACTACAGACTATATAGGATCCGCAAATCTGCTAAAACAGATTCAAATTAAACATAAAGGAACAGAACATAATCGAACCTTGAGGATTCATCTTCGACATTGCCATGAGTGCTTCTGGAATCTCGAGAAAACTCCGTTTGGCAGCATGAAACTCCGTCCGAATCCTGTCAATGTCATCATTAACCTCCGAAGTTTTTGCTTCTGCGCTCTTTATTCGTTCCTCGTACTTGGATACTGTTTGCTTGTAGCCACGGACATTTGCGCCAAATCCTTTTTTTTTACAATATATATATAAATCGCAAATAATTCAACAACTCACAACTTGTACCAAGAGAACATAATAAATTTAAAAGTTAGAAAAATAAGATTGTAATCGAAACATGCCTATTTGAAACATTTACAAAAACAAAAATATATAAGTCCAAATTTACAGATTTCTTTAAAAAAAAAAACCAAACAGTAAAAACAGACTAAAAGGGGGAAACCTATATGAACTCCAGAAGAAGAAAATCTCGTTCTCTGCAAGAAAGATACATGAAACGTGAGATCATTGCTGCTATTAGTTTTATAAAATATGAGAGAAAAAATAGAGAGAGCGAGATATGAACATACTTTGAGAGAAGAGCAAAGGGGAAGAAGCCTGCGAAAGGAAGCCATGAAAGGAAAGGAACACAGCTGAGCTTACGACAAGATTGGAAAATGGAAAATAGCATATTTATTATTTTTTGTTTTGAACTTCACTCTTGTAAAGAAAAATACAGGAAACTTGAATACGGTGGATGAAGGAACATTTCAAGTTCCAACTCAAAATCCGCCTAATTTGAAAAAAAAAAAGAAAATTGGAACTACAAGAACTGGCTTTGGGTATTCGGGTTAAAGGGGCTTGGGACTTGGAAACTGTAAACTTGCTGCGTTTGTAAACGCCAACGCCACTAATGTACTGAGAAATTGATGCGTTTATTCAAAAAAAGCCATTACGAGTCTATGGCGGCGTTTGTCTAAAAGCGTCACTAAAGTACGAGTCTTTAGCGACGTTTATATAAAAACACCACTATTGTACTTAGAAATTACAACATTTATTAAAAAACACCATTAATGTACGAGTCTAAAGCGGCGTTTGTCTAAAAACGCCACTAAAGTATGAGTTTTTAGCGGCCTTTGTATAGAAATGCCACTAAAGTACAATCTTTAGCAGCGTTTATATAGAAATGCAATCAAAGTACGAGTTTTTAGCGGCTTTGTTAAAAAAAACACCGATAAAAATGCCACTATAAACCCATTTTGTTGTAGTGAACATCTTAATTTAAGGTTAATTTAATACGGTTTCAACTTAGTGTGTTATTATGTTCAATCTTAAAAGTTATACAAAGTTGTAATATTTTTGCATGCAACTGAAAAATTACATTGCGGGAGATTTATAACTAACAATTATGTAGATAATCTTTTTGTTCGGGTTATTATTATTAATATTTAATATTATTATTATTATTATTTAATATTACTACTATTATTATTCATTTATTATTACTACTATTATTATTCATTTATTATTACTACATGTTTTTTGTTATAGGCCCAAAACCGGGCCCAAACTATTATAACCCAACAAGCAAGCCCAAGACCTAAAATCCTAGGGTTTCTAGCTATAGTTTTCAGCCACTGCCTTATATCAATCGTTGTATATGCCTAGATCCAACGGTTCTGATCCTTGGACGACAAGGGTTTTGACCTAAACCCATATGCCACCATGTGCCAAGCCCGCTGCTTCCACGCGCCGGTCACTCCTATACGTGCCCACGCATCTGATCCAAGAGCCTTGCCCATGACTTCTCACCTTTTCGAGGTTTGCCATTGCCTTCGTATTTTCCATCGGTCACCACGAAAAATTTGAAAAGGGTGCCTCGGGGTAAATGTTTTTACCCTGTTCGTACGTACGTCATCTGTAGAGCACTCTCCTCACCGTGTCTCCCTCCTATGACAGGCCGCCAAAGCCAAAAAAAATTAAAAATCACAAGAAAAGTATCCGAGGTCCTTTCTCTCATTTGCATGCGAAACAAATATCAAAAAGAGGAAGGGGTCTCGTTTTAAAGAGAGATATACAACAACACAACATAAAAAGGGGGATTTTTCGGGAGAACTCAGAGCATGTTTCAAAAGGAAAAGGGAGGAAAAAAAAAGAAAGAGAGAAGGAATGAGAAGTTTATCTCGCCCGTCATCGGAGTCTTCAAGCATCATCGGGAAACCTCTATTTTGAAGGTAAACGTTTAGATCTAGGATGGTGGGGTAGCTTTTAGGATGAGGGAATGTTGTTTTTGGATTTAGGGGAGAGTAAGCTTTGTTTTGGGTTGAGTTTCTAGGACTCCAACCGCTGTGCACGGTGACAGAGTGCTTCGATGAGCGGCGGCCTGAGGCTTTCAGCCTCCCTCGGTGGAGAAGGGGAAGAGAGAAGGCAGAGAGAAGAGAGTTTTTTCTCTTTAGAAAGAAAATGGAAATGAAGCAAATGAGAAAACAATGCCATTTTTGGCCATGGGTTGGGTTTATATACATGAGCCTAGACGACATCGTTTTGGGAGGGGTCTTGTGCGTTTTTGGCGCATGGGAAAACCATCTCCACAGCCCTTCGAGTTTTGTAACCATTTCGATTTATCCACTAAATTCAAATTTTGATTGTTATGATATGAACTTCAAGTTTATTCCCGTTTACATTATAGTCATCATGTATGCTCTGAGGAACTTTGGTTTAATAATTGTTATGGTCCTTAAAATTGCTTTTTCCCCTTATATACGTATGTGTAGGCCCTATATTATAATATTTAAATTTCTTACACGTTACCTATTATAATTTTTTTTACTTAAACATAATGTTTGTTGTATATATATATTTATATGTTAAGTAATTTTTCGCACTTTATATTACATATGTGTATATGGTGTATATATATATATATATATATATATATAGATATGTAGCCTATATTTTCCATCTTAACCTTATATGATGTTGTGTATTATTTTAATTTTAATATTCTTGTTTTGTTTTATTGACATTTTCAAAACTTTCCTTGTGTTCGATATTTTTATTTCCATTTCGTCTCATTCATGTGTTTTTTCTTTGGGTTATTTTAATTTAATCCTTGTGAGCAACCTCTATTTATGATTTTAGTTTATCGTTTGGCATTTAATTTATTTTGACCATTATTCTTTATCATTTAGTATTACAATTTGTTTTCGTCCACTTTAACCCATTTTACATATTTTCTAAAATGCTTAGTAGTATAATATTCATTTGCATATTCATTTTTGATACGTATATATAGCTATACATATTACAAATAATTAGTAATGTACGTTATACATTTTTTATATATTATGATATTATTAATGTATATGTGTTTATTTTGATGTTATGAATATGGTTTATGAATTTTCTTGTATTTTGTTACATATATATTATTTGTTCAAATTTTAAGACACTATTAATTTGTGTGAATAATTTATGGAGATGCACTTTAAGTGGCAAGAAGTGTGTCCCGAGATCTGTTCGTACAAAATGGTATATTTTGATTCGATCAAATGTTTAATATATATATATATATATATATAATTTAAAATTTTGAGGCAATGTCAATTCGTAAGGAAATCTGGGGAACATGCATTAACTAGCAAGGAGAGTGTTCATAAGGATTCTTCGTACGAAATGACATCCTTTTTTTTAAGGAAATGATCTTTGGTATGGAGAATCCATAAAAACACGCCTTAACTAGCGAGGAGTGTGTTTTTGAAGATGGTTCATATGAAATAATTCCCTTTTCAAAATTTTTGTTCTAATAGGATCATAATTTAAATGTATATTCAAATTTGTCAATTTCAGCATTCAGATGATGCATAATCGCTTAGGTATCAATTTTGGGTTGTGGGGGTTTTAATCCTTCCCCAAGCATAATCGACTCCCGAACCCTTTTCAAAATGAGTTTCTGGTTAAACGCAAATCACTTTTTATCTTTTAAAATCATTTTTCTTAAAATTATTTTAAAGGATATTTTTTAGTTGTTCGACCTACCTCACCCAAAGGTCGATGACGACTCTAAATTTATTTATTTATTTAGAAAACCAATCTTTTTCCAAAATTAAGTTGGATCGCGCCCCGCCATTGCCCTAAAAAAGCTTAAGGATCGTTCTGATAGCTTGGCGACTCTACTGGGGACCTTAGAGAGTCAGTCTTTAATCGATTATATGTCATCTTTCTAGTTGAAAATGGTAAATATTAATGATATTTAAATGTTTGATCTTTATGTTTTGTTTGCATTGCATTGCATTGCATTGCATTGCATCACATCATACATCTTTTATTTATTTATTAGTTGTACTAATGTGTAATTTTCGTGTTTCAAATTTCTAACATATTTTTAAGTTTGTTTGTTTTTGGATCGAGGCAAAGGATTGTGAGTTTCCCCTAACACACGCTATAACCATTAGAATAATTAGAGCCTTCTAACTGTGCTCTGTCCCGTTATGTAGGGTGAACGCTACGCTTACGTAAGAAAATATATTTTTCTCCGCATGGGCTTTAGCAAGTAACCTTTGGGGTACATATGCCTTGTGTTTATGAGTGAAACATTGAGTTTCCTTACGTGGAAATAGGAGCCAAGAGGGCACCAACAAAGGATAATTCGAGGACTCTTTTAGTAGTATCGAAACTCTACCCGTTTTGTACTGAAATTATGTCTGTGGTTTTTCAAAAATCTAAAAGGGGAAACTCATTCTAACCTTTCCTCAGATCTATTTATTTATTTATTTTGCAAAACGCATGAGAATTAGAAGAGTATTCGGTTAGGTTTTATATTTCCATACGAAGCCTGTGAACTAGATGACATAAGGTTAGGATTTATATGTTGAACAAAGCATTGGGGTAGAAAACATGTATGGGTAGGACTGTTATAAACGCATGTAAGGGTAGATACCATGTTGGGTTGGATCTTTTTTTTTTGTAAATTTTTTTTTTGCTTTTTTATGGTTGAGTGGTACTAACAATTTCCTTTTTTTTTTTATCTTATTTTTCTATGTCTTTGTTTGCATTTTCATTTTCACATCATAACCAGACCAGGCGTTAGTTCGTAAGTGATTGACCAAATTAGAAGGTTTTCATATCAACATAAGACCTCCATAACTAGGTAGTCAAATACGTAAGAAGAGCGACGACTTACAAACAAAAGTTGATCTATGAAAGAAGGGCTCAAAGTCGATCGACGACTTCTTTTAAATGAACAAATATTTAGATGGTACCAAATAGTCAGATACTATTTGAGTCAAGAATGAGAAGGTCCTTCACGAGATGTCAATACCGCTTTCCTCTTGGAGAATCCCACGAAAATGGAGATCTAGAGATCCAACAATCAGAGTAGGTTAATTAAAACGAAGCTCGTCTGTCTAGTGTAAATGAAGAAAATGAAGCTCATCTGTATAGTGTAAGGAAATCTTATGGTCTGATGAAAATTGTTCTATGGTGGTCGCTTTTGGAATTAACACCTTGTGCATTTGCATTCTTATTTTGCATTTGCTTTCTTATTTATTTATTTTATTATTATTGCTTTTATAATAATTCTTGACATTTTATCTTACATGTGCTAACTTGTTTTTATGTTGCTTTTTGCTTGCATCGCATGATCATGACGTAATCAAAAGGTGTTGATTTGTGAGTGGTCATTAGAGTAAAAGGTTTTCATGATGGATAAAGGGTTTCATGATCAAGTATACTATAACATAGCTAGGGAGTGACATATTGAGGAAGCTCCAAGAATAGTGGAGAACTATACACCCAAAGATCGTATGTTCGACGAAGAGCAAAAGGAGATAAGAGAGATGAGAGAGCAAATATCCAAGATGATAGATAGGATAACTACTTTGGACAAAGGAAAAGAGACTTCTACAAAAACAATAGCTCGATGAAAACAATCTCGCGATGTCAAATACACAAGGGATCATTTTAGAACAAGCTGATTCTAGCCCATCTGAGAAACAACGCACAATCATCATTCGTATCAACAAGTTGTTTGAAGACACCAAGGAAATGGTGACAACTATAGAAGTTCAGAAAGATGAAAAGAAGTCATGGAATTAGAACTCATTGTTATTTGAGAGTCTACTCCCAACGTCGGGGGAAATAAAAATTAAAACTCCAGTTCAATCCAACCTGGGAGGTGGCTCTCATTTTGATTCTATCCCTATATCATATAAGAGTTGTATAATAAGTTTTTAGAAGCCGAGAGGTGGCCCCATATTATGTAAAACCTTAGAAACCTCCATATCTAAATTGGTGACGTCAATGTTCGTTGTGAATGTCATGCCGAAGCTCAAGGACATTCCATTGAGAATTGCACCGCCTTCAAGCATCGAGTCCAACATCTTTTGGATAATGGACTATTGGAGTTTGAGATGAAAGGTCGACCTAGTTTGGTAATTGATTGTCATGTTAAGATGAAGCCAAAAGTGTTCAAAGATAAGGGTATCAGTGGAGACATCCAAGATGAAGAATGTTTGCTAAAGTATAAAACTCAAGTGCATCATTTTATGATTGAAAACGATAAACTGAATAGAGAGATAGAAGCCATGCGTGAGGATTTTCAAAGGATCAGTCAAGCCTTTAAAATGTTGGTATAGGAAATGCCCCAGATGAGTGGGCAAAAGGGGTCATTAAACAGAAAAACGATACTGAATAATGGAGGAAGAATTGCAAGGTCCATGAAGGACGAGCCAAGAAGTTCTCTTATAATTTACAGATGGGAGAAAAAAGGTGCAATACAACCGCTAATGATTTGGGAAGATGTCAACCTGAAAATCAGAAGTTGAATATGTCTATAGCCAATATGGAAGCTTCATATCAACGCCACAAGTATGAGAATAATGCTGAGCTAAAAGCCACTAGACCCAAGAACATGACATTGATGAAGATTGTAGATGGTTATGGAGATCTTGTACAAGAACTTTGTAACCACAAAGACTTTCTTACAAGGAAAATGAACAACATTGTCTACAGTTCTGAAAATTGACACATAAGATGGAGGAAAAAGACGATGTCATGAAAGAAGTTATTACCCAAGCAAGCAACGTGGCTCACAAATTAGTTGATTTAGTTTGTTTTGCAAGATAATTGAAGCAAATTGACAACTCAATATCTGAGCATAAGTGGAAGTTAACTTGGATCTTTAGAGAGATAGAGAAGTTAATAGTGAAAGTTATCCCTTATATGTAAAGTTTGTTTGATGTACCAAAACCTTTGTGTTCAATGAAAGTTCTTTTAAGATGGTCACTCTAGAATGACACCTTTTGCATACATGCATTTGTATCGCATTTGTATTGCATTTGTTTATTTAAACATTTTACATGCATTAGTTATGAAAACATGGAAATAACTTATGGAGGGCTATGTGATCATAACTGTAACACCCATCTCCCATATACCTTCCCGTATACGAGATACATGTCATATCACTATTAAAACTGTTTCTCATTTGAAAACCCATAAAAATTTTGTTTCGTTTTATAATACCTTTTAATTTATTTATAATAAAACATACATTAATAAAAATAGGAGAACAAAAAGATATGTTGAAATAGCTCACCATTTTACAACAATTTAATCCAAATACTATTCAGAGCGTTTTTACTAAACCCTATTACATGCCAACTAAAATACATCAAAAGTATACATGTATGTCATACTGTTACTGATGAGGTGACTCTAGCTTTATGTTTGATGATCTCCTTACTCAGCTTGTATTAAACCTACACGTGAAATAAGCACACGTTAATTATTACTTGGTGAGGCAAAAACTAATCATACATTGAAATAATTATATCATTATTTTTTGTCCATCAAATACCCATTCATTATTTTCCATTCATTATCATTTCTTTGTAATGCACCCGTAGTGCCCATACGGTCATTCATAAACATATTATGAATTCCTTGTTTTACACACATAGTGCCGAAACGGTTATTCATCGACATATGATGAATTCCGTGAAATACACACTTAGTGCCTTAACGGTTATTCATCAACATATGATGAATTCCATGAAATTCACACTTAGTGCCGAAACGGTTATTCATCAACATATGATGAATTCCGTGAAATGCACACTTAGTACCGAAACGGTTATTCATCAACATATGATGAATTCCATGAAATGCACATTTAGTGCCAAAACGGTTATTCATCAACATATGATGAATTCCGTGAAATGCATACTTAGTGCCGAAACAGTTATTCATCAACATATGATGAATTCCGTGAAATGCACACTTAGTGCTGAAATGGTTATTCATCAACATATGATGAATTATGTAAAATGCACACTTAGTGCTGAAACGGTTATTCATCAACATATGATGAATTTCGTGAAATGCACACTTAGTGCCTATTTGGCAATCACCACACACATATTAAACAATCATACATATATAATTCGTACAACATATAGTTACACAATTAAATGCACTCACCTGGCTATCTTCGCTACTGTATCCAAAATACAAACTGCTTACTCAGGTACTTTGCCTTGGACCTTAGTTTTGTTTGTCTCGGTTGGAAGAGAAATCTCATGAAGAATCACAAGATTGGTTGGAAGAGCAGATAACATGGTTACAACAAGATATGAGGAATCAAGCATTGATTTCTCTACAAGATGAATCGAATCAAATGATCCAGTTCCTACCAACCAATCATATTGATAGAGAGAAAATAGTTGATAAATGATACCAGTGTTATCAGACTAATACGTCGATAATGATAACCTACCCTGTGGCATCCCACTCGAACCTAAAGAATGGCCTCATTGATCATGAGCAATTTGAAGATAAATTCAAGCGGTTGAAGAAAGAAATTAGAACTATGTAAAGTGTTAATGCCTCCCCATAAAGAACTAGAAGCGAGAGAACTTAGTCTGGTCCCTGATTTGGTTATCCCACATAAATTTAGGGTGCCTAATTTTGAGAAATATGATGGCATCAGTTATCCCCTAATTCATCTGAAAATGCTCTTGAGGAAGATGGAAGAGTATTTAAATTATGATAATCTACTGATCCATTACTTTCATGATAGTCTCGCTGGGCCAGTGGTAATATGGTATAACTATTTGAACAGAGAGCATATCAAGACATGGGTCGATCTAGCTGATGCCTTTCTAGGGCAATATCGATATGTTAAAGGCTTAGCCCCAAAATGTCAAGATCTTCAGAGAAATAAAGATGAAAGCTACTGAAAACTTTAAAGAATATGCCCAAAAATGGAGAGGGGTGGCAGCACAAGCTTAGCCTACCATGTTAGAAGAAGAAATATCATGCATGTTTCATAATTCTCTTTCAACTCCGTTTTTTGAGTTAATGTTGGAAAATTCAACAAAAGCCTTCGAGGATCTTGTGATAGATGGGGAGTTAATTGAAAATGCAATCAATAAAAAAAGCTTGAAAGTTACTTCTAAAAGTGAAAGCTGACGGGTGATAGAATGTCACAGTCATAAAATAAAATAAACAACTAGTCGTTCGAACCGACCAAAGAAAGTCTCACAATCAAGAAGTACTTTAAAGGTGTTCTAAACTTCAATCTCAGATTTGTACCCCTATTTGATTAAATATCTGTTGAACTATGTTTCGATATAACAATTTAAGGCAAAATGGTTTTTGGACTTGAATTGAATTTACAAAATGTATTTGGACTTAATTGAATTTATTCAAAATTTACAAAAATAATTCAAAGTTCTTTTAATTTAAAATTGAGCACAAAAATGTTTTTATGAATAGTAATTTACTATTTGAACAGTAAATTACTATTTGAGCAGTAAATCACTGTTTGAACAGTACCCCGAGGCTCAAAAATTCCAGTATGTAAAAGGGGAACCGATTCCCCCCAGGGGGTACCGATTCCCTCACTGTTCATCAGCCCAACGGTTATAATATTTGAATATTATGAAGGGGTATCGATTCCCTATGAAGGGGTACCGATTCCCCCCATTCTGGGCAGCCTATTTTTGCAGAAAAATCATTCCCAAACGGCTCCAAAACATCCCCAACGGCTAGATATGACTTCAAACACATTCCAAGCTATAAATACAAGCTAAGGACACTTGAAGAAGAAAGAGAACAACTATCCAAGCAATCAAACACAAGAGAAGAGTTTTTCGTTCTTATTTCATCTTTCTCTTGTAAATATTTTGTTCTTGTGAGCTCAATCTTGTAAACACCTACCTTAGAGAGGTTTTCTTGTTTACATCTTTTATCCTATTGTAAAGGGGAAATGTTCTAGTTTATCCCATGTAAAAGCTAGGGAAATGTTCTAGTTTAGCCCGGAAAAACTAGGGAGTTGTAAGGTTATCTCTTTGTCCTCAAAAGAAAGAACAAATTAGTGAATTTGTTGGAAAATCCTTGGTGAGGAGCTAAGGTAGTGGATGTAGACTTTGGTTGAGAAAGTCGAACCACTCTAAATCGCTGTGCAATTTTCTATCTTTCAATCTCCTTACTCCCTAAACACAAAACCGTTCTGACCCCTCTTTGCAAATCGTTTCGGTTGTCGTTTCGA